GAGACTGAGTCGTTGAGAAAACGTTAAGTAAGGAGAAAATTCACACCTTGGAAGCCTTAGCTGAAAGCCTGGCAGAGGCAGCTGCATCATTACTCATTGGCGCTTCCCTCGTGGCCGCAGCTGAAGGGGACGTATCCACTGTTGTCCTCTTCAGGGGAGCGTCTTCAGGAACGCCATCTCCTCTGCCACTAGAGAAACGAGCTCTCTTTCGTGACTGATCATGACGTCTTGCGGTCTCGTCAGGAGTAAGGGGAGAAGCGCGTGGACGCAAGACCGACGCGGCTGGCGTCTTCGGTGCTGCGTTCGTCAAAACCCTCGTCTGCAATGATGCGGTCATCGGTGCAGCAGTCATCGGCACTATGTTTGTCAACGCCGTAATCCTCGCTTTCGCCATCTCCGCTCTCTGACGGGATGATAACCGCTGCTCGCCTTGACCAAGAGTCTTTCCCGGAACGACCGCGACGGAAAACGTTCTCTCAATCCTCTGGAGGCTAAACGACCCTCGCCAGTGACCTTTCCCAGTAGAAAGGATTCTATGCATAGCAGCGACAACGTTGGTATCAATTACGGGTAGCGACGGCTTCACTGCAAAAACCAATGGGTGAGGTGATGCGTGTAAAAAAAAAAAAAAATTTGTACCTCTCCTCGCCCATCTCGCCTTAACAAGGGCAACACAGTCCGCCCCGGCGGTCCTCTCTGAAATCTCGGCAAAAATGAAACGGTCCTCGAAGTGCTCGTCTTTGCTAGGAAACCCGTCGATGATTCTCCGACCCGCCACGGGAGTGATGCTGTACTTAAGCTCCTCCTTCCGACCGCGAGTCCGAAAGTCCAACAAGCAGGACAAGTGCTCGATGCTGATCTCAACGCCATGTTCCCGACTCATCACGTAGACGCCGACGAGATGTCTGAGGCCCCTCGGGTTGACCTGAGCAAGGGCAACGTGATTCGCTGCCAGAAAACGAAGGAGGCATCCAGGCACCGAAAAACGAAGCATGCACGAGTCAAAGTAGTTCTCGTAAAGAGTAAAGTACCCAGGAGGCGGAGCATTGGCCTTGTCGGTGGAAACGGGGGCGATCAACGCAATCTCCTCTGAAATCTCACACCGCCCCCGGAGAAGCCGCAGTGACTCTTCATCTGTAAGGGAAGACCCAGGAGGGTTAGGACGAATCGGTGCCCTTCGTTTCTTCTTCGCCGTTGTTAGTTGCTCAACTTCGATAAGGGTAGCTTCGTCATCTCTTTCGGTGCTGGACGCTAGCGAGTTGAACGAAGAAGACGAGGGCAGCGATTGCGATGCGTCGGCAGTACCAGGCGGAAGCATTGGGTCCTCATCATTCAGAAGGATCACACCACCGACATCTCCACGTCGGGTCCTCGGGTCGTCGTCAGCAAGGGCCATCGGGTCATCAGCGACAAAGTCTCCGGAGATGTCGGCGGTGACATCGGTGCCCTTCGACCCGAGAGCTCCAGGAAGCTTATGCCTCGGAGAAACCAAGACGTCGCGATGATGAGCCGCCAAAGTCAAGCCCTTAGTCGGGATCCTCGGGTCTTCGGTGACATCGGTGCCCTTCGACCCGAGAGCTCCAGAAAGCTTATGCCTCGGAGAAGCCAAGACATCGCGATGATGAGCCGCCGAAGTCGAGCATTCAGTCGGGATCCTCGGGTCTTCAGTGACGAGAATGTCTTCGGCGGCAGAAGGGTCTTCGATGGCGAGAATGTCTTCGGAGGCATAAGGGTCTTCGGTGGCGAGAATGTCTTCGGCGGCATGAAGACCCTCGGCGGCACCTTGGTCTTCGGCGCCACGATGGTCGTCGGCGGGATATTGAGCTCCGGCGTTACGGTCGTCAGCGCGACGGTTGACGATGTCAAAACCATCATCACCACCGCGGTCGTCGGCGGCACGCTCTCCGACCAAACCAAAACTTGTCTTCTCCATAAACGCAAATTCACCTATACAAATCGAAATCGAGGATTAAAAGCGGCACAATCTTCAATTTTTAATGGATCTAGAGTCACATTACAAAGAGTATCCTAAAGAATCAACACAACAAAACTCATCCCATCAAAGCTTGTTGATAGCAACCATGGATTCAAGCAAATCAACAACCAATTTTAGAGGAATTGGTTGATAAAACAACAAGGAAACTCACCGAAGCAACAAGGAAACAACGAGGAGGACTCGGCGGCGGCGGAAGAACGTAGCGTCGACCGGAAGACTCCTCGTCGGCGGCGGCGGCGAAAATGAAGATGAAGAAGAAGGGTTAAACCCTTCGCAAGTGTGGAGAAGAAGGAG